ACATCGTCATCATACATTTTATTCTACAACCACAGCTCCTTCATACATACATAGCAGTATTACACATGGTCATAACTTTACCTGAGACAAAACCACGGGCATTATATAAACAGAACATGTATGTACTGTATTACTATGATATACCATATGTTCCCTTGGTTGCGGGTGACATACTTTGATTAGTGACGTTTAAACTACGATTTATAGTCACGATCTAAATATCGGTCTTGTTGTCACAGTCTTTATCCCCTAATAACTCCTCTCGACCTGTTTTCAAATTTTTCAGCCTAATGTAGAGACTTTTTTGTTATTGACACGCTTTACAAGGTTTTTAACTGCCATAAAACACTCTACGTTGCGTTGTACTTTTTATAATGCAGGTTTAATTGTAGGCGTTGTTTACTTCATTACACTCACTAACTTTAAACTAATGCAACATCCAAGCACACTCTTTAGAGTCTTGTCGTTTGTGTCAGGTTGTGCGACCTGGCAGGTAAATTCCTGTTTATAAAAGTCTTATTTGCAATGATGTTCTTCCGGTCACCAACCAAAAGCATCCGATTAAACGTGTGATGTAACATTAATAACATTTCCACATCGGAATTGCCGATTCTGATACGAATGTTGCAACTTGGACTCTGTAGGCATAGAGATAGTTATTTCGACGCCGACATTATTTCATAACCGTTGGCGTTGATATGTATCGCTCATCAGCATTTTGTCATGTGTATCGTGTATGGAATATTTGGTCTCTTTGCTCTATTTGAAATGTCGCAAGCTTTATACGTGAAAATTGTCCAAAATTTAAAAAATATCTTTGAACTGTATGAAATACGCTTACTATTTCACAAATAAGAACAGAATTGTTTACAAGTAGAAGCTGCTGGATGACCGAGACACGCACGTATCGGATACGTTCTAGGAAAATTCCGTATACATATTAATATGAACGAGTCATTATAACCGCGTTAAAATGAACCTAATCTACTGGCAAATGTATCCGTCAACATCTAATGATAACAGTCGGAGCAGACTTGTAGTTTGTACTATTGATAGTTTATTTCTGGCAGGTACAAACTACTGCTGTTGCTGAATACAAAGGAGAATTTGGAAATGAATACTTTCCATATTAATATGCCCTACTAATTGATTTTGTGCACACTAATTGTTATTGCTTTCTTTAAAATGTGTGATTAACTTGCTGTAATGGTATGGCAAGAAGGTTAATTGGGATGCTAATACTGATGTTAACACAAACAGTCCGTTGCGCGCTATGGCTTTCATACTTTTTGGGCTCTTTGTATCTGCTGATATGCAAAGTGGTAATCATTCTGCCGAATTATGCTAATTACCTTTTTCCTCCTTAGGCGGCGTTATAGTAATACGGGTGTAAGCAGTCCAAAAGAATAAATAAATTGACAGTTAGCGTAGGTACAGCATGTACTCTTCCAAACTTTAGTGAATGAACCTTAGAGTATCGCTATTTTCTGGCCGCGCATTGACGACCATAGTTACCTGCTGCGGCCCTGCCCAGGTTGTGTCCCCGAGTAAGCGTTTGATTTACAACTGATAATATAAATAATAATTATTATTCATTCTCTATTCATTTGATATTGACTAAATCTTAATAACAATAATTAATACCCTACATTCCTTTCTCTCGTAGCATTTAACATGCCCCGAGATCCAAAACTATCCATAGATATCGCCGCGGCTGCTCGAGGCCAACGAAGAGACACCTCTCGCAGAGATACTCAAAATTCTCAAACTGCCGAGAAAGAAGGCGCGAATCTCGAGGGGGAAACAGATGTTGAACCTGAAGATATCAACGATGACGAGGACGAACTCTCTTCCGTGCCATCAATACCCGATGAGAACATAGACTTTGATTTTGTATATGCTTTACATACATTTGGAGCTACCGTAGAGGGTCAGGCAAGCGTAGTCCGAGGAGAACCCTTGACTCTCTTGGACGACTCAAACAGTTATTGGTGGCTAGTCAAAGTATTAAAAAGCGAGGAAGTTGGCTACATTCCTGCTGAGAATGTCGAAGTAAGCTACAGTTACCCTGTTAAGCATGTTGGTTGCTTCATGTATTAGACGGCGAACATTCCTCGCGTTGTCTGCAATACATTGGATCTCTCTTTTCCATCACATAATGAACGATCTTAGATTGTGAACTACTGAATTGAATAAATATTGCGCATACTGATTATATAATACTTTCTCATTAGATGCCGCAAGAACGTCTGGCAAGATTAAATAAACATCGTAACGTTAACGTGAGTTGCAATTGTCGCAGTTTATATTGTCTTCGCATTACTAAAATAATTGTCCAATATTTATAATTCATTATCAGTTATCATCCTCACAACACCACGATACATTGCCAGCTGTCATACCAAAGGCGAAGCCTGTTGCTAAAGCTCGTTTGAATGTTTCATTTGGAAGTCCGTTAGCAACAACTGCCGATGATTTAGTGGAATCAGATGACGCTGAAACTGACGAGGAACAAGACGACGACATTGGACCAGATTATGAAAACTATGATGATGAGGAAGAGGAGGATGATACTGAAACAATAGTTGCGCCAGATAATAACCGAATTTATACTTCCGTAGATACGGAAGACAATGTTGGTCCCGAACAGATGGTCAATGTAAACTTTGAAAGAGAAGACCAACTAATTCAAACTAATGTACAATGGAATCAACCGATACAAATGCAACAAGGGACCGCTCAGGAAAGCGTGCAGTGGGGAAACCAACAACTTCGACAACAGCAACTAGAGCAACAACTTCGACAACAACAACAACAACAACAACAACAGCAGCAGCAGCAGCAGCAGCAGCAGCAGCAGCAAGGAACCATAGAGTGGGCAAATCAACAGCAGTTACAACAGGAAAACATGCAATGGGGAGATCAGCAACAGCTACTGCAAGGACCTATGCAGCCTAACATTCAGTGGGCGGAAGATCAACAGAGATTGCAACGAGAAACACTTGACAACAACGCTGCGTTCCAGAGGACTGACGATGCTAATAGGCAGATTATTCAAGGACAATATGTTACCAATGCCAACAATTACAGCGGCTATAGCAATAACAATTATCGATCTCCAGATAATGCTCCCAATCAAGAAATTATAGATGTCGTCGAACAGCCATCTGGAGAAACTATTAAGATGACGCTTACACCCTCTCTAGGCAGCGATTATATAGACTTCTCTGATGAAGAAAATGATACCCGAAAGGAAGTGGATAAGACCAATAAGTTCTTCTTCGATGAAGAAACCAGAGTGAAAGTTCCGATTGAGGAATATATGAAAGACTTGCCTCCTGAAGATACTAAGAAGGCTGGCAAGGGTAAGAGGGAGAAGAAAGAAGGCATATTTACAAAACTTTTCTCGAAAAAGAAACAAAAGGTAAAGAAAGAAGAAGACCAACAGAAACTTGTGTCGAGTGCAACATCTTCTGTTCAAGTACAAGGATTGCCGAGAGCTGATTCGCGGCAAGGTGCGCGTTTACAGCCACCATCGATGCAAATGCAAGGTCAGCCGTATGCACAAATGCCTCCGCAAGAGCAAGAACAAGGGCTAACGCGAGTACAAGGACCAATGCAAGGTCAAGTCCAAGGTCAAAGTCAAGGTCAGGGTCAAGTTCTAGTTGAAGGTCAAGCGCTAGTACCAGGGTCAATGCAGACGCAAGATCAAGGTCTAATACTAGGGCCAATAACACCAGTGGTAGTACAGGATCAAGTTCAAGGCCAAGGTCAAGGTCAAATGTTACTACAAGGACCAATGCTAGGACAGGGCCCAACACAAGGCCAAAGTCAAATGCATCAATACGCACAACAACAACAGCAACAACAACAACAACAACAACAACAACAACAACAACAACAACAACAACAACAATTTCTACAACAGCAACAGCAACAGCAACAGCAACAACAACAACAGCAGCAGCAGATGCAGTATCAGATGAGACAGCCACAAAATTTCAATCAAATACAAAAAGATCAATTCCAGCCATCGTCACAACTTCAACAATACATGGCTCCGAAAATGCAGCCCCAAAATGTTCGTAATACGCCGGATCCAATTAAATCTATTTCCCAAGTAGCTTCAGACGGTGCTTCAGCTCCCACAAGCCCTCTTCTTCACGTTTTGACTGTTCACCCAGGAAATAACATCCAAACAAACGTCAGTTATAAGACAATATTATTAAGCCGTTCGACCACAGTAACCGAACTTATAAAGCAATCGCTCACGCGATTCAAACTAGATAATCCAGTAAATTGGGAAGATTATTTTATAACAGTGAAAGAGTTTGACGGAGGTGATTTTTCAAGAATCTTGATAAACTTGTATTATAGACTTTCATCATGTTGTTTACATTTTAAATCTCACGAATATTTATTTAATGTTTAAACTTTGTAGAGGAAATTCATCTTATGCCACACGATCACCCACTCGAAATTTTCCAGACACTAGTTTCTGCGTCAACAATGCCTCTTCCTCAAGTCAATCGGGAATCTATCTCATCCATATCGTCTGAACTGTCAAATGATGCAGTGATTAGAAATCTGCGCTTGAGCGAATTTCTAGAGAGGAATACCGTGAGATTTTATCTAAACAGAAAGAACAAGCGCGGCAGCCGTTCCTCTGGCGAGCGGCGGATACGCGTGCATGTGTTGATCTATCATGATGACCTGCCGTCATATTTGAAAAAAAGTTCTGTCCCGCGTGTATCAATGTCTGTGCCAAAGCATCTCGCTGATAAGGCCGCGAGGAGGCGATCTCCTGGAGAGGAAGGCAAGCCGAGGGAGAAAGTATTGATATTTAATGGGCGCGTTACAGTTGCCGAGGTTATTACAAAAGCACTCGATAAATTTGGAATTACCGATGGGATATTCGATGATGGTTCACATATAGCGGACGGTGATACAAGACCGAGATATAATTTGATGGTATTTGCCGATGGTGAGGGTAAGTAGTAATGTTGTTCTTGACTCTTAAGTTATAGATATATTATTTACATCACGGTTAACATGTATACTTTTAATGGTAATTCATACTAATAGAAAGGGTGCTTCAAACCAAGACCAAGATTATTGATGCTTGTCCAAACCAACCCGACTTTCGACCACAATCTGTCGATTCTGTCGATTCGAATTTGTCTTTAACATCTGATTATCGATTCGAAGAACCCATATTTGTACTACGAATGTCTAACTCAGATGATTATCAACGGCATGCCATGCCTGATTCAAAGTCTGGCCCAGAACCTGGCAAAAGTGAAGAGACTTTATCGCGTAAGCAGCTTATAGAACAACAGCGAGAATATAGTCGTGCTAAGCAACGTTCGATTCTAGCTGCGCATAAGAATGATGCTCAAGGTGTCGATATTGTGACTAGCGCTGGCGCAATTCGTAGTTCTCGCATATTCGGCCAAAAAGTGCGGTATTCATTTATCCCGCAACAAGGCGGGGAGGAAATTGATATTAGTGACATCATTGAGAACATTTGGGGTGGCGAGATGGATGAGCAAGATAACGCAGAATCAGACGAAGAAATAATACAGAGAAACTCCGAATCACGTGATAATACAGATGAATACATTGCACCATTGTCCATTCAGAAAAGAGACGTGCCGAACAATCGGCGAGCATCAACAAGAAAGAGCTTGACAGCTGAGACTGACATACTGATGGAGACTGTTGATCAAGCACAGGGCGATAATAATCGAATGAGTCAATCGTTGGAGGAAAAGATAGAGCGTGTATTACTTACGGTAGCTGCTGGACAGTATAATAACAAAATACCTGAATCTCCTACAGCACTTAGTCGTCAACTGTCAGATAGACCGAAAGCAACCGCTGTTCAGGAACATACACGGTTTCGTCGTCTTAGCCAACCTCATAATGGACGCTCTAATAGCCAGACGTCATTACCTCCAATATCAACCAACATAAATGCTAGTGTTCCTACTGGTATGGGTTCTCCGAAATCTAAACAATCTCAAGGAAGCTCATATTCTCGTTCTTACAAGAGTAATGCGAGCCGTACTAGATCGGGCTCTGTTGCTTCAACTAGCTCACTCAACTCGGCTGTTAGTCCTACGCAGAGTAATATGCCTGGCGGACCTTCATCTCCTGGCATCGCTTCGATCGCTGAGAGTGATTGGGTTTTATCAGATGATTTTGGATTGCAGGAACTTCTGGTCCTTGTTCGGTCAAGTGTGAATTTCGTAGAGATGAAAGAGAGAAGGCGAAGCGGATGGAAATTGCAAGACGATCCCGAAAAATTTCTTGAAGATATTAATCCCAATGAGTTTATAGACGATATCAAGACACTTTATTTAAGCGCGGAATCAGAGTTGGATGGTTTAGAAAAGGTGAGTAGAAGACATGATTTTTATCTATCACTTGTGGTATTATTATTCTAAGCATTGTCGATTATTATTTTATAGGAACTTGACATGTTAATGGACAATGCATTGAGAGTAATTTAATTAAACAGTTGTAGTCTGTTCATCATTTATATTCGTTTGTATTTTTAATACTTGGTTTAAATTATGAATCAAATAGATTTAATTCATATATACTAGAGTAAGCAGACATTCACAAATCCCTAAAGAAATACATTTGATCAGTGATCAAGTATAATTTTATTGCGATGCCAATGCATAATAAAGACTAGAGCATGATAACGGCACCCAGCGAATTCTGTGTGTCCGAATGCTTGCATTAGCAAGCTTTTAAACAAAATCTGAGTGATCTTTCTAGCCAGGTTATTATGTTGTCTTTTGCGTGACATTCGGATTAATCTTTTTACCATCCTATAGAAATATGGTATGGTGTTGTTATTAGCAATGATAGGAGGGGAATGCGGTTCCTCTTCAGTTGTATCATACCTTATTATATCGAATTCGCGGTGGTGGCTCTCGCTTACGGCGTCCCTCTCGTGATCTCACTCTGACTACATGTGAGTGAATAGCACACGATACACAATAATGAAGCTTTATGTATAGCTTTGGCAGAGCGTATTCTGTGAATAAGAACGAATCATAAGCAGGTATCCCGTATTTGAAGCTCATCCCTTATTTTAAAGTAACCAAACTAACCAGGATAAACAGATGCGTCTGTGATATCGCGGATCGCCGCACTTTCCACCATGTTACGGATGGTAAAGCGCTTTATTGCCTTGTCCTAGAACAGTAGGAACAATTACTCTTACGCATCAGTAAAATATATTCATGCGCCGAATAGAGTTGCAATCACACATGAGATTCTTCTCTAATTGATTAAAGAAATAGTTAATCAATTACCTTTGGGACACATCTTGCACAGTTCGAACATCGAACAGGCTTAGTGTGGCCACGTCCGTGCTTGTTGCGGCCGTTGTTTCTTCTCTTTTTGGTCTATCATAGTTATAATAACAGGTAAGTGTTTGAAAGCATGTCACGAATTAATAGCGGAATGTATGGACTTGTTGATGCGCAATCTTATATTATTGTCAACTAGATTGTCACGAGGGTAATAGCGGAATGTATGGACTTGTTGATGCGCAATCTTATATTATTATCAACTAGATTGATGCGGTTGTCACAGATTCTGTAGCAGTAAACCGATCATGGTAACTAGTGGCGCCACCGAGACCTGACTTTGAAGCTTTTTCTTCTAGTTCTTATTCTCTTAATCGTAAGATCAAAGGCTCTTCTTAATAAATGCTTCTCTTTCTTGTCATCCACACTCACCATCGCAACAAAAAGATATGCAGAAAGGAGAAGGAACACAAAGAGAATGTACTTTTGAATTTAATAAAATTTTTTTGGTAGGACAGCGGTCACATGACGTCAAATTTACAATTATTACAATTATCGTTACATGATTTCTATTTCGATCTACTGATTGCTTCTGCTTTCGTTCTATGCCCTTCACTAGTGTGAGCGAATTCGCTCTTTTGTACAAGCAGTGGCCTATCCTTGTTCATAAGATACAATTTGTTCTTGTGTTCATTTAGCACCTCTACTTCCGAAAGTACTAATAATTGTCTTGCGAATACAAATCCAGTCATGTACGAATCAAAGTGCGCCGCGTGATATGTTTCAATATTTTCTTTCGTCCTAGGTGTGACACTTAACGAATTCTCTCTATAATGATTAATGTCATTAATAGTTTTCGCTTTTGCGCTTATCTTTACATTATTTACAGGAAACCTTGATGATGAATGTTCGGTCTCGAACGTAGACGCAGATTCCATCGATGGTGACGATGGAAATACCTCAGTCGAAGAATCACTATCCTTCGTTTTTATTGAATGTGAGACTCTAGTCTCCTTCAAAGCCTTTGAAGTGGAGTCAAAGTTATGGTGCTTCCGTCTACCTTCCTGTTCAGTCTCATAATCAAGTATCAAATCGAGATCGTGCGATTTACCACATTGCATGTTCATCCTGCAATATCCGTACGACTACAAACACGAAATAAAGGTCGATTTAATGTGATCTGGGGATACTCATAACTTCCACAAGGCAATCGGAACACCTACAGCATATTGCTGACAATAAGGCAACTTGTCATCATCATCAGTATCGTCTTCATACTTTCTCCTATTTTTCTCATTTCCATATCGAGTTTTGTGCATCCGCCCGTTATGACCATGAGAACTTGACTCATAATCATCCTCTTCGTCTCTTGATCGCTTGACTGGTATACACGACAATTTTTCTTGAAACTTCATATCCAAGTACTCTTTCTTACCAGTCATCTTTCTCTCGAATTGCTCTCTCTCATATCTACAAGTTGTTAATATAAGTAACTATCATTGATTGAAAGAGACAACAGGGTTCCCCTTACTTACTTTCGATACAAATAAGCCAAGAAAGTTGTTTTCTCGTCCGTCACGTAAGACGATATATACTTCGTATCGATAATGCCCGCAGGAAACATCTCGGTGAGATCTGCTACAAATGAGTTGAGATCTGGTGGTAAATCCGCGTAGAATGCATAATATATGAATATGAGATCTAGAAACCCGTTATGCACTACTAGAGGTATTTTTTGGGCGAGAATGTGTGAAAATATCGATCTCATTATAACATTAGGATGATTTGGATAATGAACAGCCTAAAAAAGCAAATTAATCAGTCAAATGAAAGAATATATTGTAAATAATGCTTCATCAAACGTCAGAACACCTTATCAGGACCAGGTTCGTAAGGTATTCCGTGCATCAATTGTTTGTGAAAGTCAAAGCCGACTCCAGCCAAGAATTTTAAACTATTTGGACTGACTTTATGTTCGCTCTGGAACGGATGTATTGATCTAATTAGCTTACAATTAATACTGATGGAAAGGCGGACTGATTTCTGTTGTCTACCTGACAAGAAAGAGTAAAACTAAAGTTGTGGACAGCATACGACTTTTCCAGCTCGTTTGATCGTATTTCGCCTTCCTCCGTCGACAGCAATTCGAACGTCGTAAACCCCAAGGACAGTATGGCATATGACTTTGCAACCTTGCACAAGTTTTCATATCTGTCCTCAAGATTACTATACCGACGAATGATGGGTTATATCAATATCTGGTAGACAGACGATGTTCCATGAATACGTTTATCGTCATTCAAACAATTTTTGCTTACAATGCTTTTGTATCAGCATGTCGACCACCCAACCCAGTAAATTCAGCATCTAAAGCGATAAAACTGGCGCGGCTTATGGTATTCTTTATTTTCGTTTGTAGAGAGACAAGGTTTTCTATAGTGACATCGTTGAACGTACTTAGATTGATAGTCGCGGGGATCTCACGTCGAGTCATGAAAAATATATAAACAAAGCAAAGAGGTGAATAATTTTTCTGCTTCTAGTAATAGTTAGCAGCAATTAGAATATAGCTAATAGCTTAACGGTAGAGTGTAAAATGACGTTGCGAACGAACCAATTTATTTCAGTGTCTTGTGACCATGAAAAAAACCCCCCACATATTAATATAAGACACTGGTTACGTTTGCCCTCACCCCATATTTTCACGCATTTGATTTTAGCTTGTTTACAGCCTTGGTCACTCTCGTACTTCGAGATCCATTCCACTTTGATACATAAATACATACATACGTACATATATATATACATACATATATTTAAGATCGCCTTCCAATGGCCAGGTGTTGCACTACTCACTGTCAGCTTGACAACCCAACTCTACTACATAATAGTAGTACTCAACAAACAGCGTGTGAGATGCAGAAATCTTACGACATAAAAAAGAGAAAATTTAAAGAAAGCTTTGAATACAATATTGTAGAAGACTTTTTCGATATTGAACGTAACAAAAAGATCCACTTTGACGAAGGAAACTGGATAGGCGATAACGAAGTTATATTAAACCCTATTATAAATGATAAAGAAACAACAAAAACAACACCAACACCAACACCATCGACACCGACACCAACACCTCCAACTACAACAATAACCACGACAACGACGACATCAACAACGCCAACATCGATACCCACAACAACGACACCGACACCGACACCAACAACAACAAAGTCACCCTATCCATTCCTAATATCTCGTAATCAGGATAGAGAACACGGAAACCTGAATCTCGTTTGTTATCAGGACGTTCTATTTGAAAGACTCGAAACTGGTCGATGGAAAAGGATTGATTTAGGGAGTATTCCCAAGTATGAATACTTCAAGTATCAGGAAGAGCTTGTTAACTATACGCGAAAAATGTACAATGGCGCAAGTACGATTACAAAGATTGGTGCAGAATTCACTGATGACGAAGAGTCGGATAGCGACGAAAACGATCATTTACCAGAAGTGAAGATAGAACACGTCCCATTGTGTAAACAGGTTCGCGGTCGTAGTCATAGCTACAAACCGAAAACATGGTCGAAGCTTGGTCAAGTGCTCGTTGTATTGAAGGAGGACACATGATTAGGGAAATGGTTGATTATCAGATATACACAGTTTTGTTGTTTTCTTTTTTGCTATACGCGCTCGACAAATGGATTGTCTTGTATATAATGTCAAAACCAGAAGAGAGGACTTTGACAATCGATGATTCGAAGGATATATAAATTGATCCATTGCGTGTATGCGTTGTAGTATACGTTGCATTTATGGCTTTAGCAATGACTAAAAAAAGGTTATTTGCATCTTTTGATACTATATGTTCGTGAGCACGGCTTTCTGTATTTGGTTCAGTTTATGATAATAAAAACCCACGTTTCGTAATCAGGTCTTTACTTTGTTGATCGCTAATCCTGGCCTTTCCCCCTCAAGCAATAACTGTCAGATCGTTAGAGTCTTTTTTTTTTCCTCTTTCGAGAATGCCTTCAGTGGATAGATACGCAGTTTGATGACACGTGAAAGGCGACATGTGCAAGAATGACTTTGAAGTAAAAAACTTTATTAATATTATTGCCGTAGACGGAAAAAGTTGCGATTTTCGTAACACCACCACCTGATTCCTTTGTGATTTCGATTCGTCTTTCAAAAGTGTAATCATTCCCGAAATAAGATTTTGTTAATTATCGTGCAGATTATGCACAGCAGGTCTTCCTATAACTGGCATTTTATGTCCGGATGGATGCGTGAACTTTTCCAACTACTATTTCTTACCAACCCAAGATGACAAAAATGATCAAGTAGAAAATGTTGTAATAGCGTTGTAGAAATGTTTTTATCTGGTTTCGGGAGTCAAGTGAATAATACTATTAATTATGAATCTATTTACTATTGCTTAGCATTTGATTACAAATATTAGCTCTAAATGGAATGCCATACCATTTTATTGGCTTAGTGCTCTTTTGAAATTTGTCAAGTTATAAATCACCAAGGGCGAGTAGTAAGACCCTTTAGACGTGGCAGTCTGTTTGTATACTTGCCAGGATTGGTACGAGCGTTTAAACGCAACGAGTCAATTAAATATCAATATGACGGAACACAACATCTCTGTTGGTGACTTTTTGATTCAAATTTTTAATCAAGCGTCTTTCAGAATACACGTCAATTGTAAATATTTACCTCACTAATTCGATCATTACACAAATATATATATTTATTTATATTATACGAGTATTATATAGATAATTTTACCACGTTTCGTTTTTGAGTTTATATACTTGTCACACGATACGATCAATTCGGAAAAGCCAAGAATACACTCTGCGCCAAGCTTTTGATCTCAAAATTTAAAATAGTGTAAATTGATGCAACTTCTCACCAAAGTAACTATTTGTATTACATACAGAATGTGAATCCATGGTACTTCTCATCGTCTTGTGCTCTGCGCCTAACCGAATTAGCAATCACCAATTGGAAATTCACACGAGTCACATAAAAATCATCATTATGATGACATTCTTAATCATTATCATGTGCCGGATCATCCGTTGGACAGAAAGAATATTTACGTTTTGCTAGTCGAGCCGAAAAAGTTATCATTTCAAAAATATTGGAGGCCAGCGGTTATTATTATGTGATTACTTCATTCAGTAATTCGAAGAAAGTGAATATCCACTAAATTAGAAGAGAAAGAACTAGGCCAAGTATTATCCCAGATGATAGTAATGAGTAATTATTTGTCCCACAGAAATTTGGGCATCTAAATAACAAGCGCCCTAAAAACAAGGCCCCAAAAATTATTATCTCGAAAATAACCCCCCCCCAAAAAAAATAAATTTTTTTTTTCTTTTTTAAAGTCAATATCATATACACGGGTGACTTTGGTTAATAGTAAGGAGGCTTGTAATTAAAGAGGGCTTATTTACGATGATAAGAGCGGATAAGAATGGATTTCGGAGCATACAAAAATTAATCCCTTTCCTCCCTAACTCGAACTCAGCAACAAAGAGAGCGGTTGTATATGAGCGGCGTAGTAATTCTTTGGCTATTCATGCTACTATCTCGAATTAATATTAACTTTTGGACGACAATTACAATCCCGGAAAAAAATAATGGCGGTCATATTAAACATATTTTTATAAATTTTTACGTATAAGGTAAACTTTTGGCAGTAATTAATGTTATTTCGCGATAACAAATTGTACTCGTAATAGATAATAATGAATTTCACAAAAACGGTTTTAACGCGTTTTTGACATTTAACTTTTATGCACGAAAAGCATGTCTTGGTTTGGGCTAACTAAATTGTTAACAAAAATTGCAAACATATTTGTATTAGCATTTTTTGTTGTAAATAGTTTAATTAGTACTGGAAAATTAATAAAAAGGCTATAGTAATAAATTACAGTTTTTACAAATTTATTCCAAACATAAACAATTAATATTATACATAAACCTTTTTTAGAACATAGCTGGTGCTTTCAAGCAGTCTAAAACCAAACCTTTATTTTGCATAATTTATTGCAACAACATTTTTGCTAATACTAACTCGACTGCTATGCAACGGCTGTTTTGGGACTTTGATTTTACTTTGAAAGCAAACAATAATTATGAAAAAAAATTAATATTTTATTTTTATATGGAGACAGTGCTATATTAATTATGTTATGACTTTAAGTAAAATAAAAATTTTTTATTAAAGTGCGGTGAAAATTGGTCCATACTAATATACAAGGCAATAACGAAATGAATATGGTAAACAACAATGTTATATCCTTGAGGGGAAATGGAGCAGGAAAAAGCTTATTTTAATTGTTAACATTAAAAAATAAATTAATATTAATATACAATAGAGGAGAAATACAAGTAACACTAGATAATTAATATGGATAGTAGGGATTAGAGTAATAATAATAACCAAGACTTAAATAATTAATATCCTGAGGTTCAAGATGCTAATGATGAAGTCATTGAGAATCCTATTTTTGATAGAGTAATGAGATATTATGAGGAATGAATAGACAACATTTGTAAAATTGGACATGCTGCAACAAAACCAGACAAAGAGGACATCCTATTATAATTATGTGACATAAATGAGAGGTTGATTATGGCGTGGCTGAAAATTGACCTGTGTGACTGATGACGTTGTTCTGACCCAAATCGAAATAAGTTCAGAGTGATATTCATTTCGATGTTGTCACATAATTTATGCATATTCTACTGCACTTTATGGGAACTAAAGCCAGAACTAAAAAATCGTGTTGATTATCACATACTGGATTGCACCAGCGATGATGCAGTAGCCTACGCGAAAGATAACCGCTCTCTCAGCCGACCGTAAAAGCTTTTTTTATTTAATACTATTAGACAGCAAAGTTCCTGTTACTAAGTAGTAGTATATGCGCTTCACATTAAGAAAGCTTTGAAAATTTTAACTCTTATTTTAGGAGAAGGGCATTTTTGAGGCAGTTAATTTGGGGCAGACTGCGACAAAACCAGACAAAGTGGACATTGAATTATGTAAATGGCTGAATTTTTTATTTTTTTTTTGAAGACTATGCTTCTTTAGTAGCACGAAATACATTACGTATCCGTGATTAATAAGTAAATATGGCACTGATATTTGCATCATTGTTAATTTTCGTTCCAACCAATCAACCATGTCTTTGACAAATACTAGACGATGATAATCTTATATAGTTAAGCCCGGTTCAGCATTAGAGCAAGTATTTTACGGGACTATCAAACTTATTCTCTTTAGTAAATACATTACGATGTACGTTAATAAACATATCAATATTCCATCGCTATCCACTAGCCACGTCTCTCATACCTAATTCACACCTAACCTTCCGCTCGCTTGAATAATTTATACAAACGCGAATTACCTATTGCATAATTAATTGTGAAAACAATTGACAAAAGTTTACGAGAGTGTTTCTCCGATCGCTGTGAGAACCAATATTATCATGCCATCGTCTCATTATTCAGATCAGCAGTCACCAAGTATGTAGAAGATTTTAAATAAATACTGCTTTTTTCACAAACGTTTTAATTAGTGATTCACTCAAAGAAACAAGAATTCTATAATTAAGTCTATAAATCCAATACTCCTATTACTTTTTCTCATCCAACCCACTCGGCTCTTTCCAAAAATTTACACATGTACGATGTTTCACCCTTCCAACATTTTTCACAGAAACTGTCATAAGTTTTATCTTTCTTCCACTCGAAATAACTCTCATATAAAGTCTTGTCATTTGCCACCTTTTCTATGTAATCTGCAAACTCCTTGACCGTCTTAAAGTCTGACACTTTTATAATTGAATGCGGGGGTACGTAATCATCAATATCCGGCGCACCCATGTAAACTGGGATGGCATCGATAAGCATCGGATCATAGACCTTTTCCGTGACATAGCCAGCGCAGTTGGAATTTTCAAATGCCAATATAAATTTATAGGGTGACAGTGTATCTCGCTTGACTTCATACATATTCGCCTGCCAATGCGCCGTCGCGTTGCCCTCAGGCTTAATTCCGTACTTTTTGAGAACGTATTCGGGCACGTTTTTGGTATGATGACAGCTGCCGTACGAATCGACGGTGATATACTTCATAAGTTCGTCGACGAATTCGTTTCGATTGTTCTTGGGATTACAATTTCCAGCCATCCATGCAACCAAAACGTCTGATTTTTTCTTCTCAAAGGGTATATCAGTTTTGTAGAACTCAGGCATACGATCTCGAGAAATCCCAAAAGTCGGTTGGAATATGTCAAAAACCCGCGCGGGAGGGCCCATGGTCATTTCAAACAATTCACGGAAACCTCTAAGTCCGGCATACCATTCGTATGCTAGACCCTCATCTACGAGTTTTAACCACCAAACTTGGTTTGTATTTTTTGGCGGAAAGCGCGCAAGGTCATAGTATGGTGGGTAATCCTCTCGGAGAAGATATGGAAAGTCTATTAACATTACGTCTGCTTCACGCCACCGGGTAAAGTTCGCCGTTATTCTCCAACTCGTGCCTCCCTCGCAAGTGCCTTGCTCTCCATAATCCAGTTGAGTCCAGAAAAAGCATGGCGCATATCCGGCTGGCCACGTAGCTATGTCAGAATATGGGGAAGGCGCAAATCTCTCAAAGATTCGTCGGAAAGACGGTGCAAGTTCAGGTGGATAAGGACAGAGATCACGCGCAGCGTCTGGCCAGGATAGTTCTTTGTGGGTTAGGAACGTATAATGGAGCCAGCGGAAGATTAATACTTCACGATTACGGGGACCTTTAAGGCGAAAGGTGCGATATCTGGGAAAGCTATCATGCAGTAGAGTGTCACATGTGGTAGGCACATATTCGGCAAGGAAGGGCGATGGCGCTAATTTTACGTCACCAAGCGCCTTTAATGGAGCTGGTATAGATGGTGGTGGTAAAGAAGGAAGAGGTGCTAGAGATGAGGACGGTTTAGACGGTTTAGACGGCCTGGGTGGTGGAGTGTATGCTATTTCATCGCTAGTTGGCACAGTGACGCTATAATATGAATGTATAAAGTTTAAAGAAAAGGTAATTAATGCCACGAGTATGACAGTCACTGCTAATAATTTCCACACAGGTCTTCGCCCAACACCAGTCTTCGACATCGCACTCGACAAGTTTAAAAAATAGTTCATTGTGGGTAATAATAATAAACCTTAGCGATCTAATTTGAGAGAGAAATAATGTAGGACGAATTAGAATTTACCCTCCAAGTCGCACAATATGGAACAAATCCTAATCCAACACTAATAAAATGTGTCTCGATATACCGGATTTTATTAGTATTCTCTCGATAAAGCTACTGTATAACGGATGCTAACCAAAAGTACTATATATTAGTTTTATCAAAAATATACTTGATACTGTCGACCTCCCCTACAGTCACCTCCTATACAGTCACATTGGCTTATAGTCACAATTTGGTTCGGTCCCGGTTTTTTCCATAATGATTTTCCTCCTATACAGTCACATCATAGTGATAGTCACAGTCACCGATTTTGGATTCTCGTCACTATGAAGTCTATATATAAATCCCTCTGCACAGTCGCTAAACCAATTTATTATATTAATATTGTAGCAAGGAAATTATTCTCATGGTAATTATTCGTGGCAGGATCCACAACAAACAAAGGGACCATAATGTTAAATGCATTTACAGCTTATTATATCAGCGATAAACAAGCCACCACACATTTACACAGTACGGTAGTATTGGATAAATATTACATCATATAACGTAATGAATTCCAAAAACAAGCCTTAATATTAATTAAGGTAATAAACATATCCCATTGAATTTTTACACAATGTCCTCATAACATCAACCGAAAAAAAAAGAGTTCAATTGAGTATTGACAATAAACGCAAAATTTGCGAATACGCGAAACAAAATTCTACCTTGAACCATGCAGACATTGCCAAACACTTTAATAATAAGTATAATTTTTAACATGAATCGCTCAACTGTAACCAAAATTTATCCAAAAAAAAAAGGCTTATTATGCTTTCAACAAAACAGGATCCTAGCACACGTTCTGCTAAGTACCCTAAATTGAACAAGGCTATGGAACTGTAGGTAGTAGGTACACCAAACTATTGAACCTGAACTTGAATCAAAACGTCAACAAAAATCGAATCTTATTTTACAAAATAATAGTAAATTCATTATTAAAACTTATCGTGTAACATATGTTAATCACATGACCGTCTATGAATCCTTTGTACAGTCACCCCTCCTTAGTCACAGTAAACTACCCCAGCGTCACCATGAAAATTTCACGTTCACATGACTGCAGTGGGTGAAACTATAGAAGCAAAATATATATATTAATATAGAAATAATCATGTGAACGTGAAATTTCATGGTGATGCTGGGGATAAACGGTAATCACGTGTTAGTAATAATCAACCAATTCAATTGTTGAATTTGAATGCAAGACACATGTTGATGTCAGATCAGAATTTTATGTTGCTTCCAAACTGACATGTGTCAGATGAGAATAATAGAAAATTAGCAATAAATATGACAGTGTTTTATTGAATAATATATTGTCAGTTTGGAAGCATAAAATTCTGATCTGACACATATCACTTCGGAATTGACATAAACTCCGATCTGACATATTAATATGTCACTTCGGGGTTGACATAAATTCTAATCTGACATATGTTACTTCGGAATTGACATAAATTTCGATCTGACATACAACACACATAAGAAAACTTATTAAACGAAACGCTTAATTGATAAGACATTCGCCTCCGCTGTGTTCATACATTCCAGTCTTGAAACATAACAAGTGTTGTATGTCAATTTGGAATTCTGCCAGTTTGGAATTTTATGTCAAATTGGAATGGATAATTTATAATAATAAAGGAAACGTATTCTATTATTCATTATCAAAACTATAATTAAGCATGCATATACAGTATGTTAATTATAATGTAAATGTATCATATACTCAATTTCATGCTTCTCATACATATATCAAACGCTAATCTGTTCAAGTGGGCTTATTATAGTCTAAACTTTTGCGCGCTATTTATTAGTCTTTTCCAGCCCACAACTCCTTGTGTATATCACCATAGAATCAAATCTTGATAACAATTATAATATTATGACAAGTTTATTAGATTTCGGAAAATGTTAAACACTTTTCTTTCTCACTGCTTTCTACTATATTTAACAATATTTTTTAAAATTTTTTTGAAGTAGAATTTTCTTGTAAACGCTGTATATAATTTTGCGCCACTATATAATTTCCGGAATTCCATATATAATTTGTACGCGATATATATGTTTGACCCAAATTAAAATAATTATTTGTTCTATAGTAAATTCTAATTATGAAAAAACCTCACTAATCCGAGGTAAGCTTTGATTCCATGGGCTTCGGGTTAACGAGGTCGACTATGTATTAGTATATGTTTTGAAAATAATTGATTGTACTTTTGAAAAAAAAAAATAACAAAAAAATTAAATAATAATAATTATTATTATTAATCTCACATGTAACAGATATTGGGTTAGAATGTGAAAGTATATTGTTGTTGTGTCTGAGTTCAGGACCTGTCTCAGTTCAGAACCCAGTTACTCAGTCCAGAACTCAGTTGTCTCAGTTCAGAACTGAGACAGGTCCCCAACTGAGGTACAACATTTTTATATGTATAGCATATAATAATTATTTTTCTAGCTACAGCTTATTATAATAATGTGTTAAATTTAACTGTTTACTAGCAAATTTTAGAACAGTCTCATGACCCATGTCAGGGAGTGTACATGGATAGAAAAGCAGAACTATGTACTGTCTAGACAAGACTAAACTGAATAAATAAGGAAATGTGGCTAAAAGCCAGGGATAACAAAATAAAAAAGTATAATGTTAATACTAACACAAATGTTGTGTAATACTCAATAATGTTTAGATTATTGAGATAATACTATATTTTTGTAATTTTGAGAGTTGGATTAATATGACCATATTACATGCCAATAATTAGTGAAATCTGGTTTCATGAACCTCAAAGTGTCCCCGAAAGGAGGCAGTTGACGCAGCAGATAAAACGCAAGGATTTCACATAGACTGGTTATTCACGGTATGTTAAATTCATATATCTATTGTTGATTTCAGAGACGCAACCTCGCAAAAGGTGTGGCGGTCACAAATTTTCGCTCTGTGATTAAAGCTTGAAAATAATAAGAGAGGTGCAAAAGACTCTTAGGGATATGCATGGCTCTGTTTGAAGCTATTGCGACCGCAGAAAATGAGTGTTCTCGAAAACAGTCTTACATGCATGCACGAAACTGCTGATGCATGGCTTTATATTCATCGTAATTTTCATCCGCGTCGTTCTTGTCATTTATGTCGGGGCTGGATTCTATTCGTCAATTAAACTTGCGGAATTCGACATCCCAACAACATACGACGAGATTTGGGAGCATTGTCAAAATTGCACGAGTTATGTTACAAAGATAGATGTCAGGTACACTCGCCCGGCAAAAAGTATCAACTCAGCTTGCAAGCTAATTGATTGTATTTTCGAAAAAAATAGTGACATATTTAGCCCCATTATCGCTCTAAGCTGGCGTTCGGTGAAATGACAGTACCAACGTTACAGATATAATTTTCATACATTTTAATATGGTACTGTCACTTCACCGAACACCAGCTTTAGAGCGATAATAGGACACTATTTTTTTCGAAAATACAATCAATTAACTTCAAAATGATGCAAAAATCATTGCAATTTTCATAGTACATGCAGACAGACGATAGTGGGTTTTCGGAAAAAAGAAAAAGATTCTGATATTAATATACTATTTTACAGCAGAAAATTTCAGTGTAACAGTTCGCCGATTCAAGCAGATAATGAAGTTTGCTTTGGACAAAGTGTGGCTAAGCGAGTAAAGGAGTTGCGAAATAGCGAAAGTCTTACGGAAACAGTAAGCGGCACCGATTTCGACATACGAATCGGACAGCAGAAGCATATCAGCTCAAAGAGGATAGTGACATGTTATCTCTTCCATGGTCCGCATAAAATCTCGATCTCAGGTCATTTGGCTTTCCAAACTAATCCTATAGAATAGAACGTCTATGGGATGCGGTGGCAGATTCCACCGAACTCGAAAAACGAATGAGAAGCGTGGAAAAACTCAAATGAGTTATTTACAGCACTGATATAACATTGAAGGGGAAATTTAGTAGACGCTATACCTCGTCGTATACAGACTGTAATACAGTAAATGCTAGAGGAAACCCCACACAATACTAATTAGTTTATCAGGTGGAGCAGATTTAACAAATAAAATGATGTCTACCCCGTATGATGATCGGTATGCAATCATCCCTGCTATTACCGCATGTCTTCTCAATAAGCAGCACTCATTAGGAACAGTGAAATAATCAAACGACGCGAAAAGTAATTACAGTAAAATATAATTGTGTTGGCAATTATTATACGGTGTTTGATACTGACATACTAATTTACAATTACAACTATCCTTATATCCATTCAACTCTCTCTAAAAATGCACATACATCTGAATCGTCAAGAGGATGACACTTTTTGCAAAAGTTCTCGTGTGTTGTGTCTTTTTTCCACGCAAAGTAACTTTCGTATAGTGTCTTATTATTGGCTATCCGTTCAACATGTTCTGCTAATGCACTCGTGCTCTCATAATCCGTTACTTTAATCACACTCCCAGGCGGTACATAATCATCAATATCAGACGCGCCCATGTATATGGGAATAGCGTCCACCAACAGCGCATTGTATACTTTCTCTGTCACATATCCTTCACAATTAGAGTTTTCAAAGACAAGAACAAACTTATATGCAGAGAGAATGTCTCTATTAATTTCATACATATGTTTTTTCCAATAACCTGGGGCTGGTCCCTTTTCCAGTCCGTATTTTTTCAATATCTCATCCGAAGCATCTTGATTGTGCAGACAGTTGCCGTACGAATGCACAGTTACATGATTCATTAGTTCTCGGACATAATCTTCCCGCTTGTTTGGTACATAACAGTTCCCAGCTATCCACACAAATAACACATCGTTGCGTTTATTCTCAAATTTCACATGAGTATCATAAAACGGGTCAATATTCTCAACCGGATATGTTGGCTTATAAATGTCAAATATATTATCAGGCGAACCCATCGTCAGATCAAATACACCCCAGAAAGTGTCTAGTCCAGCAAATGGATAATATCCCAATCCTTCTTCCGGGAAAGACATCCACCATGTCTGGTTTGAACGTCTGGGTGGCATTTGAGTAATATCGAAGAATGGCGCTTCTTCTTGTTTAAAGTAGAAGGGATAATCGATGAATATAACGTCAGTTTCTCGCCAGATGGTATAGTTGAAGTGAAGATGATATGATTGACCGTTTTTGCAGGTGCCTCTCACACTCTCATGAAATAGATACCAAAGGAAACAAGGAGCGTATCCAATTGGCCATGCACTGACTATGGGAGTGCGTCCCTTTACAAATTTGTTATAAAATCTTTTAAAAAATGGAACTAATTCTGGTGGATATGGGCACAGCTCTGCTGAACGTTTTTTCCAATCGACAGTGTCTGCTATCTGATAAGTCAAGTACCGCCAATGAAATATCGAAAGTTCTCTTCCGGGTGGCCCGTATGCCTTGAACGATTTGCGTTTGACACGGTTAGGTAAATTAAAACATGTCGCAAGAGAATATTCAGAGGCAAAGGGAGAAAAGTGTTTAATTGCTTCTTCGTACGGGTCTTGAGGAGGGGTTTCTGCGGATGAATCGTTAGGAGGAGTGATTTCTACGGATAGGTCATTATGAGGAGTTTCTTCATGCGAGTCTTGAGGAGAGCTTTCTACGAATAAATCATTAGGAGGAGGAGGTCCTTCATACAAGTCTTGAAGAGAAGTTTCTTGAGGAGGGGTTTCTACGGTAGAAGTTCCTTCATACAGGTCTTGCGGAGGTGTTTCTACGGATAAATTATTAAGAGTTTCTTCGTACAGATCTTGAGGAAGGGTTCCTATGGATGAATCATTAGGAGGAGTTTCTTCATACGGGTCGTGAATAGGAATGTCTACGGTTGCTACAGATGGTCTTACAACAACGTACGTTTTTATGTGGTGTAATAACAGCACAATTGTCACGGCCGTTACTAAAAACGGAAGCCTCCACTTTAGAGACGGATGGACTAGAATGTTGCTTTTATTTCTTGCGACTTTTGCCATGTACAGTTCTCAGAAGTGAGTCCATGCTTCTCCGCCAAACTGATTCAGCGTAAAGGCCCCGAATTTCTTCGAAAATTCTGCGATGTGATTGGGACATCAAAATATTAATTAAAAATACTACGATAAAAATAGCCCGATCCTAGAAAGGAAAATTTTATGCATGTAAATCCGATTATTTGATAACGATTAGGTTTATACCAAAGTCCTATCGATTGCAAAAAGCATACTTACGATAAGATAAACTAAAAAAACTAATCGTATTAGCAATCGAGTGTTTGATACATACCAACGTGATGAAAATATTCTGGCGATTACAAATATTCTCCCATTCAACCCTTTCTAAAATTGTACATTTTTTTGCATTCCACGCGAATAATACGTCGTTGCGTTTAAATTTTACATGTGTGTTATAAAACAAACTGATATCTTTAGCTGGATAAGTCAGCTTAGATATATAAAAGATACGCATAGTCAAATCAAACATATTTCTCAAAGTGTCTAATCCAGCAAACGGATAATATCCTAATCCTTCATCAGGGAAATACATCCATCACGCCTGATTTGACATCTATGTGACGTCTGAGTGGTATTGAAGAATGGTGCTTCTTTCTGCTGAGGAGAAATGGCTAATCCACGTAAACAATGTCTGTCTCTCATCAGGAGGGTACAATTGGGATAAATATGATACGATTGACCATTTTTGCAGGTGGCTCTCTGATCTCCTTGATGGTAATACCAAAGTAAACACGGAGCATATCGAACGGGCTGGGCTATTCATAGACTTTGGGTGCAAACTTTCTATACGATGTTTTAAAGAGCGAAATTAGTTCTGGCAGATAGGAGCATATTCTTGTGATATTTTATACCAATCGGTAATTGCTGCAATCGCAAACGTCAAGTACCGCCATTAAAATTGGTTTTATGTTGCATAATATTTATGGATACCGGTTAGCTTATTAAGAAACTAATGCAAAAGAGGCAATCTGCTTTTAAGTTATTGTATAACAAACAATTTATTTCGATACTTTTTTTCATACGTGGGGCGTTCAAAAAGTTTTGACACAAATGCTTATAACATTTTTATTTACATAATAAATTTTAATTTGGCGCACACTTTCTTACGGAAATTTCATTATGTAAGATGGTTTCAATACTTCCAGTTGAGATGGAAGTGACTTCCCGAATGCCTTCAATGCT